TTTGTAACGCAGTAGTCCTTAAATTTTTGTAGGATACAAATTCCACAGGAAACAATTCAAAACATCTCTTACTCCTAGGGAGTTATTAAATTAAAGTGTTTTTTAAATGAAGTTCGTGCTCTGCACTTCCAGGAGTATATTTCCTAGGCAATTAAATTGAAGTGTTTTTTATGAAGTTCTTTTAGGGCGGGGGAATTGAAACCTCCCGCGTTCTGAAGTCTATGATCCGTTGAAACGGCAAGCAAAGAGGTCAACCCCATGGCCACGTCATCAAGGAAAATGAAAATACTTCTGACCGAACAAATGCGGTTTTCTATGGAAGCTCACAAACATTTCGCGTGCTTCGCTGTCATATCTTTTTGCATCATTTCCTTCCTTGAGCGCAGAAGGCCTTTTCCTAAATAAGAGGCGTTTTACGATCCTAATCAGTTGACTCTAACTGCTTTTTTTTTTTATTTCGTGGAACACGAACTCATTAAATGCATTATTAATCAGTGTATTCAGACCAAATTGATATTTAGGATCCTAATCAGTTGACTCTAGCTGTTTTTTTTTCATTTCGTGGAACATGAACTCATTAAAAGCATTATTAATCAGTTTATTCAGACCGAATTGATATTTAGCATGGAAATGTTTACAGGTCAACATGGGTTAAACGAAGATTGTAATTGTAAAGATGACTAAGCATTTCGACCTTTCCTTGTCCTTTAATGCTGGGTTGAATTTGAGGAGTTTTGAAATAAACTATAGCATTTTTACGAGATAATAAGTATCCTGAAACAATGCATGACAAAAACTTTTTTTTTTTGACAAGCAATGAAGTAATCTGAAGTTTCCAACTGTCATCTTGCCGGTGCCCGGTGTTCCCCGACTCTGAGCACATACATTTCCTGTTATTCTTCAACTGATAAAATATCGCTAGTACTCACTTGAAAAAAAAAAGTCAATAGCATGACGCGGCATCAACGCGCCGGCGGCCGGCATGTCTCTGCCCGCCCTTGCTCGCCTGCACGTCAGAGTCGGCGAGGCACCGCAAGTTGGCCGAGTCGAGGTTAGCCACCGCATGTCCCCGCGTTTGTCCTGCCTGGTGCCTGCTGCCTGCTGCTCGCTGCCTGCGATAAGGCGTGGAAGGCTAGGAGTAGGAGGAGGCATTTCGACGACCGACGTCCGCTCAGGGCTGCGCGTAGTCCTCGCGGGGACGTATTGCCGTCGTTTTCTTCTCCGGCGGGCGGGAGCGCCGTCCCTAACCACCTTTCCGCATTGACTAGTCCCTGTTGACTGCCAACACGCTTCCAAGGCGAACTAAGCGCGTGTTTAGTTGCTACCCAAAATCTAAAAAAGTGTTACAGTACCCATCACATCGAATCTTGCGATTCGTGTATGGAGCATTAAATGTAAACGAAAAAAACTGATTATATAATTTGGTTGAAAATTATGAGACAAACATTTTAAGTCTAATTAGTCAATGATTGAACACTATTTGACAAATAAAAACGAACGACAGTAATCCAAATATCCTCAAATTCAGGAACTAAACACGCTCTAAGATAAGATTTGTTTTATTAGTAGTATTATAGATGCGCGCGGCCGCCTAATCGGTTGCGAGTTTCTAATGGCGTTGCAGTTGCAGGCCACTTTTGCTTTGACGAACGCGACGACCAGCAGCCTAAGCCCAGCTCAAGATTCGGATTGAAGAATCTCTGGGCGTGCGATACAAGATGGATAAATCTTCTATCCTTGCTTGCCGAGATTAGCTTTCCTCCTGTTGTGACTCTTCGAACTGATATATACTCTTTCCCCCGTGTTCTTTTCCCCCTGGCCTGTCAGGGGTATATTTACGGTACGCTGTCAGCCGTTTCATAGAATAATTTTAAGTAGGTGGATTGATCGAAAAAGAAAGATTCGGATTGAAGAATCGTTAGGTTTGAGCTACGCTTGCAGGCGGGCTCGTTCGCAGCCGTCCGCTAACCTGCATCGCTCGCCGTAAAGTTTGTTAGCGGGTTTGCGGCTAGCTACTAAGCTATAAACTTTGCGGACAAATTTTCCACGGACATAACATACTACGCTGCAAAACCCGTGAGACCCGCTATACTGCAATGAAGGCTACGTGTACACTATCTCTCTGCACGTACAGTATCTACACATATCCTGTAAGAACTTGGAATCTGTAAGCTAAATTTTCATATCCAGTTAATCGACGAACAAGGATGATACAGCTTTTCACTGATCATTTTAATTTTCATATCCCGGCTATATATATATTGTACGTTCTCAAATATAACAACATCAAGAAATACAGGTATAGAAACAAAGACACATATCCTGTAACAAAAGTTATTGTTACTAAACAAAGACATAACGTATGGATGCCACTCTGCAACTCTGCATTGACTGGAACATCTAATCACCATGGGTTCATGGCCATTTCAATAACTGAAGCTTTTTTTGGTCACTGCTTAATTTAGTCCGTCTTCATGGTCTTCTGAACCGATGAAAGATATATATACACACAACTCTCTTTCAATCTGCCAATTCTTGACTTATGCGTTCTATTGAACAAATGTTCAGTATAAGTTGCAAACAACTTCCGTAGCATGTTTGCGAGCTGTAGCAACAACGGTTACCAGAGCTGAACAAGAGTCCTACGCAATGATCTGAAACTTCAATCATCAAACTGCCATTCCATCAACTAGACAAGGCCATCAGAACCTCCATGGGAGATTGGACGAGCTGAGAGCAGTCATCAACTCACTTACATCGACGCAGAGGTGAGAATAGAGCTGAGGACCAAAGGAGGGTGACTCCCGACGATGACGGAGAGGCGAGAACAGAGCCAAGTTCTTGCAGATTCTTGCGAGAGGACGGAGGAGGACGACGACGGGCCGACGGCGGCAGCCACGGAGGAGGGTGACAACGGTAGCTGTATGGTTCTTTCAGAGGATGCGACTCTTCACTCTTGCGGGCTCTTGCGAGGCTTCTCGCTCGCCCAACGGGCTTGGAGGATTGAAAGTATTTGGGCCACGAAAAAATTACAGCTGGTCCACAACAGCCACGAAACCAAGTTTTGCGGGGCGAGCGGACGGGTTACGTTAACAACCCGCCCCGCCTGCAATCGTAGTTTGAGCCATGGTTCATCGCTTCACGTATGTTGCGGTTTCGATCAGGTTGGAGATTGCACACCAGCTTCTCTCTACATGCAGTACACACAATGACACGATGGTTCTGAACTTCTGATCTCTTGCTGACTCTGGCTGCAGCAACCACGGCTTAAAGCCTTCGACAGTGGGCTTGGGACAGGGATCTGAGTGTCTTGCAATAGTGGACTAATGTGACTAACACCACCAATCCACCATTGTGCCATGAAAGAGCTTAAAGAAAAATCACTCACATACTCATTTGTCATTTCCTTGGAGATTAGGATGGAAAGAAATCAATGAGTTTTCCAACGCATAGGTACCTGGCGAAGATAAAAGACGAGTCTAACGCTCGGGCAATGGCCTGAGCAAAATAATTGGGTTGGTAATTTGGAGGCACTGGCGCTCGGACATCCGACACCCACAGCGCGTCCGGATGCAACTTCCAGTCTCAGCGAACCGAACCATGGCCCACCTCCTAGTCACAGGACCACCGAAGCCCGCCCTCCGTCCACCTTCGCCCTGCCCCATGCGCGCATTCTGCCCCCATCTTTTCTCCCGCCGATCGCCCTGACCCCTTCCTCTCTCTTCGCGCGGGCGGCACTCAGGAACCGAGATGAGCAGCTGAGGACGAGCACACCCCTAGTGTGCCTCGACCGCAGCACCCCCGTCTGCCGCCCGGCCGGCTCGTCCCCAGCCGAACAACATGAAACACTTGCAACATGAATGCAACATAAGACTGAAAACAACATTTGGAAACATGCTTCTGCAACGTGTGTGTGAAACACATGAAACATACAAACACAAAACACTTGCAACTTACAACATGAAACAGCTTGCTACAACATAATGTTGAAACAACTGAAACATTTGAAACATAATGTTGCAACATATGCAATATCCAGATAAAAAACGATTGCAACATACATATGAAAATAGATGAAACATTTTGAATAAACGCTTGCAACATGCCTCTGAAAAAACTTGCAACATATGCAACGTCCCTCGATCTACTTTTGCAACATCAAGATGAAACAATTGCAACATACATCTGAAACGTCTGAAACACTTAAAAATACATATGCAACATATGGAAGGGAAGGTCTGGTCAATTCCGGCCATTGGGGTTGGAGCCGGCGGTGAGCCACGACGCGCGAGCACCACCAGCACCATCGCGCTTGTGAGTGCCCTTGGCTCGGCTGGGGAAGACCTGAGGCACCACGGCACATGCGCGCCCAACGACCATGGCGGGGTCAGCGACGTGCGCTATAGCGATGGGAGACCGACGGACGGACGGCGAGGGAGAGAGCGGCATAGGTGTCTGGGACGGACGCGCGACACGGCCGGCGATAGGGCACGGCTGCGGCAGCGGAGGAGCGCGCGGTGGAGGAAGGGGCACGGACAACTAGCGGCCACGTTGCTCTGGGGCCTAGCGGATATGCATGAAGGAGTTGGAGAGGAGACGGATAAGCACAAAGGAGTGGAGGATTTTTTTTTTTTGTTTAGGCCGCTCCTGGGGAGCCGCATTCAGACATGAGTCACGGACAGATGTCGAGTTGAATCATTTCCGTTCGTAATTGGGTTCCCCAATAATACCTCCTTGATTTTTTTCTCCTTATTAAACAAACTCTTTATATTTACGATAGATCCAAATGTTTTGCCAATCCAATGGTGGCCTGGTAAGGTATCCACTTCGAGCCCACGCAAAGCCCATCGGACCATCGCCCTTTTCTCTGGGGAGGAAGGCTCTCTGTCTCTCGCCTTTCGTCGCTGGCTGTCTTCCGCTTCCTCAGTCCTCTCGCTTCTGTTCCCCTATCGTCGGCCCCGACAAGCGCCACGTCTCGCGCGCTCGTCCGCTCCCCGCCGATGAACTGCCGCGCGGCGCCGTGGAGCCGCCCGTCGCACATCGCCGGGCCGCGTGTGCCCACCCCGGCGCGGCCGCGCTTCGCGCTTGGTGAGGTCCACGAGCTCCCTCTCACCTCTAGATTTCGTGGTTATCTGATTTCCCTGTTCGCTTTCTGCCTGCCTAGTGGGTTTGTTTCCCCGATGTTGGGGCTTTACGTCCGATGGTTAACAGGTGCTGGTCAATGCGCGTACCGGGCCATGATTTAGCTTAGCTAGGACTAGGAGAATACTTTGAATATTGGGCTCTCATGTTTTACTTAGCTTACCAACGAGAATACTTTTGAATTTTTGCTCTGATGTTATTGCTTGCACTGTTTCTTCTGATAGTCTAACCATGTCTTAAAGTCTGATCTCAAGTCAGATGGAAATGGAAGCATTTGAACTAGATGGGCTCGCTTGATAGATTTTGGGTTCTACTGTAGTTATTCGAACCTATGTTTCACATTCGTAGGACAGCAAAGCTCCTGGCATTATTTAGTTGCATTTCGCAGTACTTTTGTATTCAGTTTGACAATTGGTACGAATTCATCTAGCTAAATATTGTTTGGCTCCTTAATCGGTTATGCTTTGGTTCCTGACAGGAAGTAGGAATCTGTGGAAGAACTCATGGACAATTGGTGCTGGTGTTTCAAATATGTTTGCGCTGCCATCAAGGCTGTTTAGGTGCATGGCTTCAAGTGGCTCTGGTGATGGTGGTTTTGCTCGGTCTACATCGACTGATGAAGCAGTAGCACCATTGCCGTTATACTCTTGGCCAGATAAGCAGGTTGACTGATTTGGGCTATCAACAACTTAAGATTGCCTGCTGTTCTTGATATTTGCTTTCAGCTATTCATGAGTTGGTAGTTATCTGTATGTGGTCAGAGTATTGAGTCAGTTCACCTTAGACTCACCTACTGTGGTCAGAGTATTGAGTCAGTTCTCCTTAGACTCACCTACTGTAATGGCTAATGGCTAATGCACTGATAATTTGTGGGAAATGTTACTATGTTACAATCACAAGAGACTAGACTTAGGTGTACATCATTTGGACAAAAAATTTAGTATAAATGCATTTGCAACTCATGACATACAGCTTTTGATAAACACTACTAGTAATACATAGTTTTTGTTCTTCTTTACGGACCAGGGAATATTTTCCTCTCATTTATGTGAGCCTTGCTGAGGATAGTTGTTTGTTACGATTTAGGGCAGCTGGATTTTTAATATAGTTATTCTGACTATAGATTTATATTGCTGTTACTGAATGTGTTTTTTTTAATACTTATTTTCAGAGACCACGAGTGTGCATTTTAGGTGGTGGATTTGGAGGCCTGTACACTGCTTTAAGACTTGATTCTCTTGTGTGGCCCAATGATAAGAGGCCTCAGGTAAAATGATGATGCTCTTCTAAATTCCCTTTATCTTGAACTGGTAGAAATTACACTCCTTATGAACTGCATAAATTTTCTTCATGGGATTTTATGTGACCCTTTCTTATGGGTCTTATGATTTCATGATGGCGTCTTCTGTAATCTTCTATTTCGTTTATTATACTCATATACTGTAATAGTTTACTAATAAAGAAACACAAATTACAGGTTCTTCTGGTTGATCAATCTGATAAATTTGTATTTAAACCCATGTTGTATGAGCTATTATCAGGAGGTACTTCTGTTTCAATTGTATAAATTATTTTGATTATTCCTTTTCACATGTTTTCATATTTCAAACTGTTGCTATTTGATCTGGTTGCCAGAAGTGGATGTCTGGGAGATAGCTCCATCTTTTACAGAGTTGCTGAAAAACACAAGTGTTCAATTTGTGAGAGATAGTGTAAAGCTTCTGCGCCCTGCTGATCACTTTAGAAGAGGACCTGGAGAACCATGCACTGGTGGAGTTGTTCATCTGGAAAGTGGCACTGTCATTGAATATGATTGGTAAGAATAATAAATTCTACATGATTGCAGTGGCTGTCAAGTCCAAGGCTTCCTTTTAGGAGCAATTTTAAAGTAGTTTGCTATAATTCATTTTTTTCATTTAAGATATGTTTAAGGATATTTGTTTTTGAAACATAAGAGCAAGTTGTTATTTGCTGCTACATAGTTTTTAGATTATGTAAAATAAGTACCAGTGTCTGTCTCACTAACTTTTAATGTGAACCTAGGATTGCCTGAACTCTGTCCCTTTTTTCTGATAACCATGTAGCATTGGTCCATTCGTTCGGGCCACTCCTGAATCATGATATGAATGGATTTTTTTATTTAACGAGTAGATTGTCAATAATTAATAATAGGGAACCATAGAACACAACAATAACATGTAGAACTACTTTATTTATGTAGATGGCTAGATTAAAGTTCTTTGCTGTCTAGTTACAATAATCTTGTTGCTGACATTTGTTTTTGAATGGGCAGCCAGGCTCGTTCTAGCTTTAGGGGCTGAAGCTAAAATTGATGTTGTTCCCGGTTCAGCTGAATATGCAATTCCTTTCACGACATTAGAGGATGCTTTGGTAAGCACAAATCATCTCATGAAATTGTATATATACTTATTGCAAACTAATCTATTGTTGGAACTACTAATATTAGCCTGTAAAATCTACTGCTGCAACAAGTGAATCATACAAGAGTTCTAAACGAGCAACAGTTAGACTAGCAAAACAAGCTAGGGGGTCGACACAGGTTCATAATGTTCCTTATGTGTTAGGTTTATTCCATGCCACTCCATGCCCAATGAGACTGAGCTACAAATTTCCAATGGGAGTCTACTACTGTCATCTCTATAATGTGTCTTTGATTAACGGAATCAATTTTTTTTCAAAAACTATAATCAATATTAACATTGGGGGCCACTATTTGATATATGTCATGAATTTGTTGATATAGTTGCATTAGCTGTTTCAGGGATTACAGATCCTATTGTGCAGCATAGTGCATAGATAGCTTAATTTCTCAACCGTGGGTCCATGAGTGTTGGCAATCCAGCCACCTGCAGAGGTGAGCAATCAGCTCACTCACACACCACACTCACAACTCACGGCTAGAGGTAGGAGAAGGGTGAGCACAGCACACTAAACAAGCACTGCACAGGCACAAGTGCAGGAAACTGAACTGATTCTTCCATTGCATTGCCTAGTATATATACAAGTCCTAGTATATATACAAGAAAGTCCTAGTATATATACAAGTCTAGTACCAACTATATGGTACACTAGTACATGGCTGATCTCAGCCCCCAACTACTACTACATGGCTGATGTATGCCACTACATAGTTGGCCTATTGCCATACTCCTACAGTATTAAAAATGGACAGCAAGAGCTGACCAAAATACCAACTCTCTGCTGCAGCAAAAGATAAAAAGGGAGCAGCAGATTATCTTACAATAAGACCATAATCATCAATCTTTTTCCTGATGCCTTTGTTCTGACAACCTATGTAACAAGTGAATCATACTTTTTGAAATAACTCAATGCTTTTTTAAAAAAAAAATAGGGTCAATTATTTATATATCATCATGCATTTGTTATTATGACTGCTAAACTGAACTGATTCTTCCATTGCATTGCCTAGTATATATACAAGTCTAGTACCAACTATATGGTACACTAGTACATGGCTGATCTCAGCCCCCAACTACTACTACTACATGGCTGATGTATGCCACTACATAGTTGGCCTATTGCCATGCTCCTACAGTATTATAAATGGACAGCAAGAGCTGACCAAAATACCAACTCTCTGCTGCAGCAAAAGATAAAAAGGGAGCAGCAGATTATCTTACAATGAGACCATGATCATCAATCTTTTTCCTAATGCCTTTGTTCTGACAACCTATGTAACACGTGAATCATACTTTTGAAATAACTCAATACTTAAAAAAAAAAATAGGGTCAATTATTTGTATATCATCATGCATTTATTATTATGGCTGCTATTAGCTATTTCTAGTATTGTAGATCCTGTTGTGCATAAATAGCTCAAATACTCATCCATGAGTCCACGACTATCAAATTCTCGTGTTGTTTATTTCATAAATTTATTTTGCAGAGGGTTGAAAGCAAGTTGAAAATGCTAGAGAGGAAAAGGTTTGGTAAGAGTTCCCCTACTATTGAGGTGGCAATTGTGGGGTTGGGCTATTCCGGTGTTGAATTAGCTGCGACTATATCTGAGAGATTAAAAAACACCGGGACTGTAAAGGCAATAAATGTTCAAACAACCATCTGTCCCACTGCTCCACAAGGAAATCGTGATGCTGCTCTGAAGGTAAGAAGCTAAAAGGTTCTATACATACATAATGAACTGTTCTGGTCAGCTTTCTATTAAAATTATAATTGATTTCATATTCCATTTGAATGCTGTGGGGTCATCTCGTGTCTGAATTCTGATCCAGTTGAAGGGTTGTAGCTTTAGTGCAATGTTGCTATCCTTATCATACAAATCCCTTCACCTTTTGTAACATGTCACCAAACAATACATTTCCATCGGGTTGTTTTTGTATCCTATATTCCCATGCAAGACAACACGGAGAAGTCATGCTCTTCCTTTACTATTTTACATAGCAGTGTTTGCCAACGATGATATTGTTTTCATATCTGTACTTCTTCAGTTGAGGAAATTATATTTTTGGGCTATCAGCTAATCACTAAAGAAATTTTGGTTCCACTACCTTCTCATCAGGTTCTTGAGTCTCGGAATATTCAGCTTTTCTTGGGATATTTTGTGACCTGCATTAAAGAGGCTTCTACATCTGATGATTCAAGTAGCACAGTTACATACTCTGAAGTTGACGGTGATCATAGGAAACTAATTTTGGACCTTCAACCTGCTGAAAGAGGCCTCAAAGGCCAGACTCTTGAGGCCGATTTGGTGCTGTGGACAGTGGGTTCAACATCTCAGATTCCCCGGTTACAGCCTCCTGATGCTCCCTATGTTATTCCTCTGAATGGTCGGGGACAGGTGGAGACAGAGGAAACCCTTCAAGTAAAAGGCCATCCCCAGACATTTGCGATTGGTGATTCAGCAGCTCTAAGGGATCCATCAGGCAAACTCCTCCCAGCCACTGCACAGGTAAGAGATTTGCTGGATTTTGCTTCAGGCTGATGCTGCAAGCCTGCACTGCTAGTCATGTCACTAAAGAAACTCTGATCTCCTAGGTTGCCTTTCAACAAGCAGATTTTGCTGGATGGAATCTCTGGGCAGCAATAAATGATCGGCCTCTCCTGCCATTCAGGTTCAAATCTGTCTTTGTTCATTTATTCACAGCATTGCTAATTTGTTCAGTTTCTTGCCAGTAGTATTCCACATCTGTTAGTAGGTACTAGGAAGGGTCGAACTCCATAGGAGACCTCAAATATACTGAATGTTTTGCAGGTTCCAAAACCTTGGTGAGATGATGACGCTTGGTAGAAATGACGCCGCGGTAACAGCAAGTTTCATTGAAGGGCTGACCTTAGAAGGACCTCTAGGACACGCTGGTATGAACACTTTGAATTATGCTCATTCACTTTCACCTATGAGTAACTGAAATTGAACTTTGCTCTGCAGCTCGGAAGCTTGTGTACTACCTCAGAATGCCCACGGATGAACACCGGGTGAAGGTTGGAATCAGCTGGTTCACAAAGACCGCAGTCGATACACTTGCCTCCGTTCAAAACGCAGTAAGTAACACGCTCACAGGCTCATGACTGTACGGATCTTAGGCGTAGTATGTGCCTGAACCGAATGAACTGGAGGACAGATCGATGTCCATCCTATGTACGTTAATCGAGGATCTTCTCGACTAGCTGTACCATACTTTTTAATCAAGCTGCTATGTTCCTACAGTAAGCATTTGTACAAGTGACGAATTCTACTTGCGGAAGTGGTTACATATCTGTGGTACAAGAGAAGGGATGATTTATATATATATAAAAATAAGTCTGGCTATGCTGATGACTGTGGTGTTGTATAACAGTTGCAGTACATGATACATATGGTACTTGCATTTCGCTTGGCGAGCATAATTAACTAGGCGGCGCTGAGCAATTTTAGGCTTTTATTTTATTTTATTTATTTTATTTAAAATTTCGAAATTCCTGTGGAGTTCTTGTGTACTCCGTAGCATGAAGCATCGCTGTCGGTAGCATTTTTTGGAAATTCATAATGTGCTACTTTTTTTTCTAAATGGAAAAGATTCTGAACCACATGGGAAGGTATCACTTTTCGAAATGGACAAAGTTCTGGACCACATGGGAGTGCCGTTGTATACAAGTCAACTCTCACCAACCCCCACCTGCAGCCTTTGTATATCTTCGTGAAGCCTCCAACTGAAATGGGCGCCTCGCTGTGTTGCACTCCTAGGTAGCCAATTCGTTTCCTCCCCCAACCAAAATGGGCGACGCCACCGCCACCAACCCCTCCTCGCCGACCGCAGCCATGGATCCCGACTCCGAGGTCGTCTTCGACTTCCAGCCCTACCTCTGCCAGTACAAGAGCGGCCGCATCCACCGCCCCGGCGGCGCCCCCACCGTCCCCGCCTGCACGGACCCCGCCACCGGCGTCGTCTCCAAGGACATCCGCGCCGGGCCCGCCTCCGCGCGCGTCTACCTCCCTCTGGGCGCCACCGGCAAGATCCCGGTGATTGTCTACTTCCACGGCGGCGGCTTCGTGGCCGGCTCGCCGGCGCGGCCGGGCACGCACAACTACCTCAACGACCTCGTCGCCCGGTCGGGCGCCATCGGCGTGTCTGGCTACTACCGCCTCGCGCCGGAGCACAAGCTGCCCGCCGCGTACGACGACGCGTGGGCGGCGCTGCGGTGGGCGGTGACGCTCGGCGACGGCGAGGACCCGTGGCTGCTGGAGCACGCCGACCTGTCCCGCGTCTTCCTGGCCGGCTGCAGCGCCGGCGCCAACATCGCGCACAACACGGCCGTGCGGGCCTCCGCCGCCGGCGCGCTCCCCGACGGCGTCACCATCCGCGGGCTCGCCCTGGTGCACCCGTACTTCACGGGCAGCGAGGCCGTGGGCGGCGAGATGGCGTTCGGCCCCGAGATCCGGCCGTTCATGGACCGGACCTGGCGGTTCGTGGTCTCGGAGACGGTGGGGCTGGACGACCCGCGCGTGAACCCGTTCGTGGACGACGCGGCGCGCAAGGCCTCCGCCGGGATCCCCTGCGAGCGCGTGCTGGTGTGCGTGGCCGAGAACGATTTCCTGCTCAAGGAGCGCGCGCTGTGGTACCACCGGGAGATCAAGGCCAGCGGGTACGCCGGCGAGGTCGAGCTGTTCGAGTCTAAGGGCGTCGGCCACGCGTTCCACTTCGACATGTTGGACTCGGAGCAGGGCGTTGAACTCCAGGAGCGGATCGTGGCTTTCATCAAGAAATGAACACCGAGACGATGAATAAGAGTTTTCTTTATGCTATTATATCATTTGGATACTTAAATTGTAATTCACCGAAAGTTGTTTGAGTGCCAAAATAATATATTCGTTCTGTCGGAAGCTGGAATTGTATTTTTCCGTGTTTTCTCTGTGGAGAATTATTTTCCATTATTTAGGGCGTTTGAGTCGTAGCTTTTGGTCTTTTGTTTTTTGTTTTTTTGAAAAAAAAAACTCACGATTCCTATAGTACAGATGCCTGAAATCAAGGAGAGAGATAGATGAGAGGAAGAGAAAGAAGATGTACAGTGCTGTTTTTCTGGATGATTGGATTAAAGATCGAATGGCTACTGTTTATCCCCTGGAAAAAAACTTTAAATTCAGGCATCTGAGAAATACAAGCTCCTATCTTACTTTTAGTGTCTAGCTGGTGGTTTTTTCTGTTAATTTAGTGTTTCTAGTTTATTTTCTCAAAACTAGCTTAACAATTAAGGAGTGTTGGGTTCTTTAGTCGCTCTTAAAATTTATGTCGAATCGAATGTTTAGATACTAATAAGGAGTATTAAATATAGATTAATTATAAAACCAATTACATAGATAGAGGCTAATTTATGAGATGATATTTTTAAGTCTAATTAATCTGTCATTAGCACATGTACTGTAGCATAACGTTGTCAAATCATGGACTAATTAGGCTTAAAAGATTCGTCTCGCAAATTAGTTGCAAGTTGTGCAATTAGTTTCGTAATTAGTCTATATTTAATACTCCATGTATGTATCAAACATTCGATGTGACAAGAATTTTAAGAGCGTCTAAAGAACCAAACAGGGCCTTGGTCTGTTTGTTTCATCTTCTCGTCGGCAGAAGTCACCACTGAAGTCAGCAAAAAGCTAAGGCTCTGTTCGGCTGCTCGTAAAGCCGCTTACGCTGATTTGTACGGGCTGTTGGGAGAGAAAATACTATACCATATCTTATAAGCCAGCTTATAATTACAGCCGAACACTCACTAAAACGAACACGTCCAGAAGGTTGTAAATTTGCAATTTGGGGGACTGTAAGATACATTTAGAAACTTCAATGAATTTTAGGCAAACAAATTAGACGAGCTCTCAGTCTCAAACACCACCACATATGAAACGGTGAAATTATTCCATCTCACTTGCGTAGTTGAACGCTTTGCACGGGCGCGCGCTCAGAGTCGCTCACATGCGTAGGAAGCTGAGGATGCGCTCCTCCATCTCCCGCGCCCTGTCGCAGCGCGGGTTCATGCAGTAGAAGACGTGGCCCTCGCCCTTGGACTCGAGCAGCTCCACCTCGCCGGGGTAGCCGCTTGCCCTGAGGCTCTCATAGTACCATACGCCCCTGTCTCTGAGGTCATCCTTCTCGGCGACGCAGACGAGCACGCGGTCGGCGGCGACGCGCGCCGCGCTGCCGCCGGCGGCCTCCGAGAACGGGTTGGAGAGCGGGTCGTCGAGCCCGGGGGAGCCGGGGTACAGGAACCGCCAGAACGCGTCGGCTTGCGCCTTGCGCTGCTTCCCCGTCGTCCCCTCGTCGCCGATGTCCGCCGCGCCGCTGAAGTAGGGGTGCACTATCAGCAGCCCCCTGACGCGCATCCCGAGGAGGTCGCCGTGGCCCTGCTGCTCGCCGGCACGGACGGCGACCAAGTGCGCGATGGTGCCCCCCGCGCTGGCCCCGGCCAGGAACACGCGGGAGAAGTCGCCGTGCTCGGTCAGCCACGGCTCCACCGGACCTCCGCCGCCTGCGGCGGCGGCGGCGTGGGTGGCCACCCACTTGAGCCCTTCCCACGAGTCCTCGTAGGCGGTCGGGAGCGGGTGCTCCGGCGCGAGGCGGTACTCGAGCGCGACCACGAGGACGCCGGCCTTGGCGACGAGCGCGTTGAGGTAGGTGTGCGTCCACGGGTCGGCCGCCGACCCGATCACGTAGGCACCGCCGTGGTAGTAGACGACGACGGGGAGCTGCTGCTTCTTGCCGTGGCTGCCGGGCGGGAGGAAGAGGCGCGCCCAGAGGCCCGTCGCCGGGTCGACGTCGACGTCCTTGGACACGACGCCCGTGGCCGCGTCGGTGCCGGCCGGGAGCGGGGCCGGGTTAAAGAACCGCTCGACGCGGCCGCTCTTGTACTGGCGGACCAGCGGCGGGAACTCCGCCTGCACCTCCGTGTCCGGGTCCGCCGCCGCCATGCTGTCGCGCTCGTCGTTGTATTAGCGTCGGTGCGTGGCTTGCTCGGACACGGACGCTAGTGCTATGTACTAGTGCGGTGCGGGAGGAATTCCCAACGGGTGGAACGGCGGACCAAACGGTTGGTGCAGTGGTGCAGACGCGCAAGCGCAAAGAGCGGCGAGGCGATGATGTATTTGCTGTAACGATCGTTGGGTTGGTGCGGAAAAGTGGGGTCCTGACGATGACTAGGTGACAGTGGCTGAGTGGCCCTTTTCGCGTCTCTTTACGAGACGGACTGTTTCAGCGAGAAGGAACGGTGTTTTTCTGCGAGACCGTCCCAGTCGCTACGTGGGTGAGGAAGCAGTGACCAGTACTGGTGTGCTACGTGGTGGGTGGCCCGCCAAACTTCTAGAAGACCATGAGCAGGTAGAGTCAAGTGAAGTGGCGCCTGGCTGACGTCGCAATCCCCAATCGCCATGCCCGCGACCGCGAGGCTTCAGAGTTCAGATGCCTGATGCCACGGGCCACGGCATCCGGCATCGTGCGTGCATATAGTGGCGGACCAGGATTTAATCGAAGATTAGCACCTCTATGGCTCTATCTAGAGGTAAAAACTACCCTATTTGAAAAAAAAGAGATAAAAACTACCATTATACATCTACTCTATCTAGTAAAGATCCATTAATAATACATACAGAAATAAATAAGACGAAGATGAAATTTCTAATTGATCCGATGATTTTTTGAACTAAAATTACTAAGAAGAATCTATAGATCCATGTTTGCAGGGGTGGAGCCACCCTATGAGCATGGTGGGGCAGCCGCCCCAGCTACTAGCGTGGTCGCACTAGACCCCCTTCTTCCTCACCTCTTGCTATCGTGTGTTGAGCCGAGGAGCGACCGAGTGGAGATAGAAGAAGGGGCCTCACAGCCCAACAGACAACAGCGACCCATTGAAGGCCTAAGCGTCCCAAATAAGTCACTGATTTTGGGTATGTTTGGCTTGTCACCGCAACCTGCCCCAGCTGACATGCGGTCCCGCCAAAAGTCAAACGGAGGTTTTGCTCGCTACACAATTAGCGAACTGCTCCGCAAAAATGAACTGGGCACATGCATGCAAGTCTGGCGGCGCCACAAATGGTGGAACCAACCAAACCATGACTAACTTCTAGCGTGAAACCTAGGGCGTGGTGTGGTGAGGTCTGGCTGCCAACCAAACAAAGCCTTCTTCCCTATCGACGCATCGGCCATCCTACTCCAATCCTCCGTGTTGTAGACATAACAAGGCTAGTGTTGGGTATGTCCTCATTGGCCATGGACCAAGAGGAATTCGTGGTGTTAGAACAGCTCACAAACAAGTTGTTGCTACGATCCTGAGATGATCCCCACTTGATGTCTAGCTGACAGCCGATCCCCAAACACATGCACCTGTTCCACGTCTCCAAATGGACAAAAAACTTGATGAAGCAGACTTTCATTGGAAGGGTAACCTCGAGGATGCGGTTAGGTGACCTCCACGGCTCCACCCCTCAAAATCGCTTGTGGCAATTGCATCAAACACCTTGCAAGCAATACTGTTGGAGTTAACACCCGTGCAACAGTTCACCCTCTGATCAGACCTGCTGCTCTGGTGTGTCTTCCATGCCATCTCCATGACAAATATCCCCGAAAAATCGAATGGATCTGATACCGATTGTTAGCAACCACCGGTGGAACCCCAATCGCTATAACTGTTGCACACCAACTTAAGCAAGCACAAGTACTGAAGATCCAATACATCAGAAAAGAGAGTTCGGGATAGGCAAGCAGAGCAAGGGAAATAGAGGAGTACTCAGTACTGACTAGAGGTAGACAGGTAGTACATCAGGAGAGATGCTTGAGGTAGCGGGAGAGAGGAAGAAGAACAGGAGCTGAGAGGAGGAACGAATGAGTATATGCTATCCATATTTTTTTTATGCTCCTCGTGTTGCTCCTGGTGACTCCTTTATTTCCAGGCAAGTGGAGCAAATGTTACAGCCCATGGCCCATATAGCAGGTCTAGTAGACCTCCTTTGGTACAGATTCAAGCAGCTCTGGCTCCTCCAATGGCTCTGTTCGGCCGGTCTATAAACCGTTTGGTGCTGATTTATACGACTGATTTATTGAAAGAGAAAAATACTATATAATGACTAATAAACCGTCTTATAATAACAGCCGATCAGAGCCATTGGCTACTTTCCTCTCTCTCTCTCTCACAGAGCCAGTGGAGCCAATGGAGTTGGAAAACACTGGCATCACCTGCTCCCACGAGAGGAGAGACGCTGCTAAACAGTGTTGCTACAATAATTTCGCTAGAGAAGCCGGTGCTGCTTGATCTCTACCAAAGGAATTGGGCTACAAAGGGGCCTCAGTACCTGTCAGTCTCTAGCAAAATCATCGTTCATGCCCCTTCTTTTAAAGTTTTACTATACACAGAACAACGGCCCACTACATTATTTGGTTCACGCCAAAGTTTGAGCGTGGCAGAAACAAGACTCACAAATCACAACACCATACTTGATTTTCACGCTAAAGTTTGATCGTGGCAGGGACGATACTCGTTCAGACATAGGAGTACGGAGGAACCGAGGAAGCGACTCTCGCGCATTCATCGCGTACGGAGGAAACGCAGGACGCGCGCCTGCAACACCCGCGCTTCCTCGCACCCCGGCTTGCGGTAATGGAAGACATGCCCCTCGCCCACGGACTCGTGCAGCTCCACCTCGCCGCGGTAGCCGCTCCCCTTGAGGCTCTCATAGTACCAGACGCCCCTGCCACGGAGCGAGTCCTTCTCCGCGACGCAGGCGAGCACGCGCTCGGCGGCGATACGCGCCGCGCTCCCACCGGCGGCCTCCGAGAACGGGTTGCCCAGCGGCGGGGAGCGCCGCCGGGAGATAGAGACGAGCCCAGAGTCCAGAGCTCGGGTTAATTACGACGTCCTTGGACGTCACGCCGGTGCCCGGTGTCGGTGCCGGCAGGGACGGTGTCAGTGGCGCCGAAGCGGACGATGCGACCGCTCTTGTACTGGCGGATGAAGGGGAAGAAGTTGTACTGCACCTCGCCGTCCAGGTCCATGTCCATCGCGATGGCCCCCTTCGCCTTGTGTCGTGAACTCGTGACGCTGTACGTATGCTGCTATATGCTCACAGCTCACCAGCTAAGCTGAGATGCTGTGTGTTCTGCCTTGTCCGCAATGGAGAACGAGAACGACCATCGACAGGATGGCCGGAGCTTGCCGATTTAATTAGTGCAAATTTCCACCATCAGTGTAGCATTTGGTTGGCTCTTGGCTATCATCTGTCGGTGGTGGTGGTGTCTTTGTCAATACTACCTCCGTACCAGAAAGATATAATTGAAATTTCACAAAAGAAAAGAAAGATATAATTGTGGATGGAATCTATTAAGTCTGTGATGAGTACACGGTTTGCTGCTAATAATTCCTACAAAAGTGATAAATTTTTGGTACATGTGCACTAAAAAGAAGTTGTTTCCTAGCGCATATGCATCTAAAATTTGTTATTTTCGTATGAATTTTCCTAGTTTAAGTTTGTATCTCAACTTGTTTACATGAGGATATATTTGTATGCATTGTGGATATACCAGATTTCAAATATAAGATCAAAATATATTTTTAATTGGTTTTCATGTTTTCTCCTACTATGTTTCACTGCATATTTTGCCTTGACAGTTACACGGAATTTGTTCTTTTTGCTTTGGAGTAATTCAATATAAGAAAACCATGTCTCAAGTCTCGACATGTATACTTCTACCCTGCAGAGGCATTAACAAATTCCAGATGCAGCAGGACCACGTTGTCAGAGCAGAACCCCAAGGGCATGTTTGATATGGTGGCCCAGCGGCCCCGCTGCGCTCCTGGGCTACAACTCCCTTGTTTGGTGCACCTAGCCCAACATCGGAGTCTACACCGCACGGGATTTAAAGCAGCTTGGGCCAGGCCCCAGAAAAACGAAATCACAGGCCGGCTCCTTCGAGCGCTCCGTGCGCTTGCAAGGACCGATACGGTTACCTCCATCTCCCTTCCCTCACCTTCCGCTGGTGCTCTACCGCGGCGTGCTCCTCTCCACCGCGCTCTCCTGCCCCTCCTGCTCGATGGTAGTAGGCCCGGCCGGCACCCTGTCCCCCTCCCCAGCGTCCTGCTCAGCACGGCGGACACGGCGCCCCGTCCCCCTCCCCGGCGTCCTGCTCCGCGCGGCGGACGCGGCCAGCGACGCAGCGCCCCGTACTGCTCCGAACGACGCCTGCAGGCTGTGGCACCAACGCGCCCTTCGCCGCGACCCCGTCCACCTCTCCCTCCGTCCTACTATGCGCGAGGCCCACGCCCACGCTCTCCCGTCGGACACAGCTCCTCCCGTGCCTCCAAGATGGTGAGCCACCGAGCAGCGACAAGGTCGGGTGCTCCTCGGCCCCGCTGTCCCTCGACTGCGTCCTGGCCGCGCTGGCCGCCAACGCCGAGTAGCTCGGGAGGCGGTGAGAGGCTGCCGCCCGCGTCCGATGCGAGAAGTCACCTGGAGTGGCGGCGGTCGGGAAGGAGGAGGGGAAAAGGGAGGTTACAGAGATGCACACGCCGCGCCCGCGCGCGCACCACCTCCTGCTCCTGCTAGCGCTCGCGGCTGGCCGCTGGCGGGCAGCGCCCGGGGATGTGCATACGATGTTCCTCGCCGCCTCCACCTCCGTCTCCTCGTTCTGTGGTGGTGATGCTCCTGCTCTGTTCCTCGCCAGCCGCCTACCAACTGGTCGATGGAATGCCAACAAGGGAGAGAAGGGAGGTAACGCCACTATATTCCAGATACGAGGGTGACCATATCCGTCTATACATATTAAGCGCGTGTTTCAAAATTTTAAAAATCTATACATTCATTAAATATAGATGAAAAAAAAAAACACCATCTGGAAAATTACAGAGCTAGATCCATTTGGAACAGGCATCCAAATAAAAGTGGCTACAAAGAATCCCAAATTCCAAATTCTTGCACCACTTCGGACACACCATCTCTACAGGCTAGATCCATTTGGGACAGGCCAAACAAGTGGGCCTTGACCACTTAGACATACCGTGATATCAGGACACGCCCCCAAACCGTGATATACGCCCCAAAAATACGCCAGAGCGCGGCCTAGCCACTGCCACATGGCCACCGCCGGCGATGAACTCGGCCACCTTGTCCGTCTCCCGCTCGGCCTTCTCGCTCCTCTTGTTGCCCACGAAGTGCACGCGCACCTCCCCCTCCGCCACGTACGTCTCCACATCCCGTCGGCAGCCGCTCCGCCTCAACCCCTTCGCGTACGCCGCCGCTCGGTCCCAGAAGTTGTTGCGCCCCACGATGGTCACCAGCACGCGCTCCCCGGCCATCCCGCGCTAGGCGCCAAGCGCCTCCAGCGGGTACACGAGCGCCCATGTCTGCTCGAGGCCGTTGCGCACCCACTGCTCCGCGGGCTTGGTACCCACCGGATCCTTGCCCCAGAAGTACGGGGTCAGGAGGACGACGCCGGCGATGGCCGCGCCGCCGGGCAGCGGTGGCTCCGCTCCGGCCCGCACCGCCAGGTTGTGGGCGATATTTCCACCGGCGCTGTCGCCGGCCAGGAAGATGCGCGTGGCATCCCCGTGGTCGGCGAGCAAGGCGTCCGGCCCCGATATGCAGTTGGATGCCAACCACCGGAGCGCCGCCCACGCGTCGTGGTACGCGGCCGGGAGCGGGTGCTCCGGCGCGAGGTGGTAGTCCACGGACACGGCCACGACGCCCACCTTGGCAACGAGGATGTTGAGGAAGGCGTGGTAGAGCGCCGCCGTGGAAGTAGAGCAGCACGGGCAGCTTCTTCTTCGTCTTCTTCTTGCCACGTCGGCCCTCGCGACGGTTCTTCGGTGGCAGGTAGAGCCGCGTGCCGACGCCGCTGGCGCCGGCGACGTCCGTGGACGCGACGCCCGTGAGCGCGTCGACGCCGGGCGGGACGGTTTCCGTGGCGTGGAAGAGGTGGACGCGCCCGCTCTTGTACACGAACACGTACGCCCGGAAGTCGAACACGATGGTGTCAGCGTCGCCATTCGTGTTGCTGACGGCAGTAGATGCCGTTGCCGCTATGTCTGAGCCTGAACCCTTCGGCTCAGCGGCGGCGGACGCTGGCGGCGCATCAGTCACGACCTTGGCTTCACCATCTTCTGTTGCAATGGCAGCGATGGCAGACGCCTTGACATTGGCGTCGCCGGAGGCCGGGGGCGCGTCGGTCAGGACATTGCCGTCAGCACCTTCAGTTGCAACGGCAGCTATGTCAGACACCTGAGCCGCCGCTACCGTCGTGACACTGGCATTTTTAGCGGCGCGGTCCACGAACACCCGCAGCCTGCCGGGCGCGACCTCCTGGCGGACAGCCACGTCGAGGAGCGGCTGCCTGGTGGACAGGTAGAGGAGGGAGGCAAAGAAGAGGAAGGGGAGCACGAGATTGACCAAGCACCTGACGCAGGAACGCATCCTCGTCGCCATTCCCACTGCTGCGCCACCGTGTTCTTCCCCCAATCGCAGCTGCAGTTCAGTTATTGGCGTTCAGGATTGTTGCAGCGAGGTCGGTGGAACGGTAGATTCGACGGCGGGATTAGGCTGTCGACACGACACGGACGCCGGCTGCAAGTCTGCGACGGGGAGGAGAGTGTGAGACGACGGCAACGCGAGACTGTCGGGGTGCGGCATGGACCTGGTGCGCTGCCGGTGGGTGCAGGCATGAGACAGAGATTACGGTGGGTCAGTGGGTGGCACCTGGCACGCGGTCGGAACGGAAAAGGTTGTGCCGTGCCACGAAAAAGGGGCCCGACGCCCGAGTGGAGGGATCGACGTGGGACGGTACCGTTTGCTCGAGAATTTTGGCAGTGGGTGGAGAGCCACGAGCTGGCAGATTGCGTTGCGAGCCCATGGTTCACACGATCACACCCCACCCGTCGTACATCGCGTAATGCCGTGGTTGAGCGTGCAAAGGCCTTGGGCGGTTGGGCCTCTCAAATTTAGAGCTCCACGCAAGGAACAGTCCTCTTCTCAAGTGAACCTCTCGTACTTCGTACTATTATTTCCGATTAAGGCTCCGTTCCGCGTCTAGAACGGTTCCCGCGTTCTAGAATTTTGTGAAGAAATCATTCGACTGGGAATTGTTCCCATGCAATGGAACGGATTGAAAAGCCGGGCTAAAAAGTATTGTTCACTGATTTATTGTGAGAGAAAAATATTATATCATGCCGATAAGTTCAAGCAAACATGATTGCATAATTAAAGGATTCAAGGTGAATACTATAGTGAAACCTGATCGGTCCTAATCAAGCACATACTGATCTCAAATATAATTTGCCCCGCAAGTCTGAAACTACACATGTGTTTAGCACATGATCCTCCTCACAAAGTGTTCATTTCAACCATTGGCAAGACAACAACTCTATGCATGGCACCTGCGCCACTGCTCATTACTCACTCTGGTTGCGATTACTAGTAGCGTTTCATTAGGATTAGTAGCGTATTTTGTTTGACTAAAATACACTGCGGTGCCTAAACCTGAGAGGCGGTATCATCTAGGTCATAAAGTTCCATCTTTTGATTTCTAGGTCCCAAAACTTGTCTCAGGCTCCAACGCATGAACGAGTTTCGACCCGTTCCACACCGACGTGGCATGATGACTCAACGCTGACATAGATCAGATATGTTCGCTCTAATACCTAAACTTGCACGGCGGTGTCATCTAGGTGTCATACTTTCAATATTTTATATCAAGGTCCCCAAACTTATTAAACGAATCACACGAGGTACCAAAACCTACACGATAGTGCCATCTAGGTCCCTAACTTCCAAATATGCAGGTTTAGGTCCCCAAACTTGCTAATCGGTCCACACGAGGTCCAATTATCATTATTTGTGATAAGTCGCCTACGTGGCTTCTGACTGTGCACCTGCCATGTGGGACCCATCTCTCATCTCCTTCTCCACTCCCTCGTGTGAGGGCCCACATATCATCCCTCTAGCCCATCTCCTTCCCTTCCCTCTTGTCTTCATTCAGCCCTTGGTCACCATCGGGCCTTGGTCGTGGCCAAAGCTCAGTAGGTGTGTTGGAGGGTGGGAGGGAGTGTGTGGAGGCTAGCCACTATCACTTGGTCCTGGCGGTGCTGCTGCTTCTGCTGCTCAAAGATGCTCCAGCTATTGTCGGTGGGCTATTGTTGGTGCTGGTGCTCAGGCTACGATGGTGCAAGAGAGAGTGACTATTGTGGCATGAGAGGGAGCGGGAAGAGATGATAGAGAGGGATGACATGCGGGGCCCACGTGCCAGGTGCTCAGTCAGCAGCCACACATGTGGCTTATCGCAAAAAATGATAATTTAGACCTTATGTGATCTGATTAGCAAGTTTGAGTTCACAGATCTGCAGGTTTGGAAGTCAGGGACCTAGATGACAATGTCGTACAAGTTTAGGTATCTCGTGTGATCCATTTAACAAGTTTGGGACCTCAATATGCAATATTAGAAGTTTGAGACCTATATGACATCAATGTGTAGGTATTGGACCAAATATGTCAAATCTACATCAGTGCTAAGTCATCCTGCCACATCAACGTACGAAGCGAGTCCAAACTTGTTTGGACCTGTGTTGAAGCTCAGGACAAGTTTAGAGGCCTAGGAAGCTAAAAATAGAAATTTATGACCTAGATGACAAAGAACCGCTATTGTATTTTACTCTTTGTTTTATTAGGACACTGTTTGTTACTCACTCTATTTGGAAATCACAAATGCGTATATTTTGTTTGGACAGAAGAAGGCTTTAACTATCAAGTCATATCCTATCTGAATCAAAACAAATATACGCCCGTAATGGTGCTATACAGGTACCTAATATCAAGGTCGATTTCGGGCTCTGCTCTCCAAATATTCTGGGTTCATATTGGTTGTGTTGTACTCACTCCAAATAAGTACCATTCGTGTTTTCTAAGGAGTCGAGCGTTTTTAATTTTGATCAAAAGGTTGATTTTGGGCTCTGCTCTCCAACCACTCCAAACATTCAGGGTTCGTATTGGTTGTGTTGTACTTCCTCCCCCATCCATCTCAAAATAATTGTCATTCTCATATTTTCTGAGAAGTAACTTTGGTCATATATATATATACAAGAAAATATTAAATATTTATAATATATAATTAGTATCATTACGTAAATCATCGAATCTAACTTATTTAAAAAAATAAATATTGCTAATATTTTTTAAAAACTTAATGAAACTATCGGTACGAATGTTGTAGCCATACTTATTACGGAGCAGAGGGGGTATGGGTTTAGAAAGGAGCTTGGCGAGGCAGGCCGGTCAGGTGGAGGAGACGGGCACAGGAAGACGGCGGTTAGGGCTTGCAAAGTGTGGCTTCCACGGAGAGAGAAAGGACGCCCGGAACAGATGAATACAAATTGCTAGTGTTATCAGGGCTTCCCCAATGCTCCACACTAGCGTACTGCTCCATCTTCTACGTCCTCACCATGTCACAGGTAGTAGTGGTCAGACATGGTGTGATAGACTCCCGCACAAGGATCTATGGCTTCGTCAGACAATAGAAGAGGGCAGCAGTGCGTTGGGGTAAGGAAACCACTCCGGCCACGTTTAGTTAAAAAAAAATTCCTAAAAAGTGTTACAGTAGCCATTATATCGAATCTTGCGATACATGTATGAAGCATTAAATATAAACGAAAAAAAACTAATTACACAATTTAGTTGAAAATTACGAGATGAACGTTTTGAGTCTAATTAGTCCATGATTGAACACTAATTACCAAATAAAAATAAAAGTACTACGATAACTAAATTTTTAAAATTTGGCCAACTAAACAAGGCTGACGAAAGGCTGCGAGAGCCTGATGGATGGTGGGACATAAAGCAAACAGAGTAATGGCTGCCTGCGCTGGGAGTGGAGTACACCTTTTTCCTGAGGCTAACATTTAGGGCATGTTTGGGACAACTCTGTTTCACCTTTTTTAGCTCTGCTCTACCAACTCCACCACAGAGCAGCTCCACTGTAAAGTTTCTAGAGCAGGTGGACCTGTTTGGCATGCAGTTTAGCTCCAGCTCTGGAAACATAAGGTTTCTATAGGAAAGGTCTACTATGCCCCTGATCGATGTTTGGTGTATGTTCAATATGCAGAGCATGTGTAATTGAATATTTTTTTTACCAATTCAAATATGGTGTAAATATTATAATCTCATTTAATTTATTGGAGAAAAGTAAAAAACAAATATTTCGACCAAATAATTCCATACTTTTGTCACGTAAATTTCAAAGCGTTTGATGGATAATTGACAAAGTTCATATTTCGGATACAAATAATTGTCCATACATGACTAATGATAAATAAGATAACAAAATCCATCATTCTAATAGAAATAGCTGTCCATAGATAACTAGAAAATAGTGACTAATACATAATTCTAGTTCCAAGCTAGAGAAAGAGCGGTGGCCAAGTCATCACAGAATTTGTCCATAGTAGGAGCATTCGGTGCATCAGTAGAGCCATTTGATTTAGCCACATATTTGAAGTACCTTTCCGGAATCTCTGGAACATAATTTGGATCACGGTCGCACCGAGCGAAGTCCAAGTCTTCACCGCCATGCTCATGAATGAAGTTGTGAAGGACCATAGTAGCCACAACAATCATTTTTTGCTTGAACATTGGGTAGGACGCCATTTTATATATGAGTGCTTGAAAAGCAGCTATTGAAGTAGCTATTGAAGTGCCTGAACTGTAATAGAGGTACAATTTTAATTCCTCTGGATTCCCAGTCATCAAACCTTTCCTGTCAGTGCACATAATCACCAGCCATCATAGACGGAATATGAAAATATACAAACTGCACAACTAAGCTGACATAAACCTACCTGATATGCCATCCTCTGAAGATTTCTAACCCCATAAAAGAGGCTTACATCAGTTTTTTTTTTCAGCAAAAACTGACTCAATAAGTGATCGTATATGGCTGCAATTAACAAATGTGGAGATAGAGAATAATTATAATTATACATCCTAATGTAAGTACATCTGCATGTCTTGAAAACTTGTACAAGTGTACCTCGTACGCATTTGTATCAGATACACTAACACAGTCTTCTTAGGACAAGTATCTGTGCTTCCATTACATGGATATAGCTTATCTGGAGAGCAGGCTTCTAGACACAATGATGTTTGCAGCTCAATAAATCTGACAGAGCTATTCATGGGAATGGTATTGCTCATCCATCGAAGGGCATTGTCAACAACTGATGAGTTATCTAAGAAGTGAAAACCTAATAAATACTCCGTAGTATCTTGCAGCTAATGTCTTTTCATGTTTAATCTTCCACTGAGTACGTGCATGGTCCGGTTATATATATCCCAACTCCAAAGAGCACTAATGGGTTAAGCAATTATGAGAAACTTATGGCTCAAGACTAGTTGGAAGTAATACCAGATATAGCTCAGACAGTAGATAGTGGATTATCATA